TAGGGCTGTCAAAAAAGCTCGTTGTTCGCGAACAGTTCGTGTTCGGTTCGTCAATGAGTTCGTGTTCGATTCGTTCGATAATTAAACGAGACAAACGCGAACAAATTTTTTTCGTTCGGTTAGTTAAACGAACCAAACACGAACAGTGATGCGTTCGTTCGTGTTCGAATCGTTATTGTTTGAAATATAAAATAATATAAAATAATTATATATAAAAAATTTATTATATTTTAAAACATTAAATTTTATAAATTATAATATATAATAAAATAATATAATAAAATAATTAATATACTATAGTAGTAATATACTAATATAGATATTGAATATTTATATAATATAAGTTATATAATTAATATATAATATTATTTTTATATATTAATATTAGGGATGTCAAACTGGCTCGTCGTTCGCGAACAGCTCGTGTTCGGTTCGTGTTCGGCTCGTTCGTTAAGAAACGAACACAAGCTTATTTCAAACAAACTAAATTTTAAACGAACCGAACACGAACAGAAGCTTTGTTCGTTCGTGTTCGGTTCGTTTACACCCCTAGCGGCACCAAATGGAGCCTAAGATGGTGTTAGATATGTAAATACATAAGAATTGGTTGACATGCATGTATATCCTCAGATTTTCTCATTTCTCAGTTTACAGACTTTAGTCCCACATCGCGAGTTTAATTGAAACTCGAACATTATTCTACTATAAAGCTAAATTCAATCCCAATGAAAGAAAATGTTATCGTATACGCGTTTTAATCCTTAAGATTTAGCTCTTTTGCTGAAATGTGAATCGAACGTGATAAGTACAAGTCCTGATAATTGGCAACAAAATAAGCGCGCTTTAATTTCATTAGAAATATAATAATTTTCTACTCTCAACACGACCCCTCATCTTTGTTCCCATGAACGAAGGCATAAACGCAATATTCTTCCAAAATCAAAATGAGGGCACTTCGCTTTGTAGGCTGCGGTAGGTATTGATGCGTATCAACGTGACACATTGTCATATACTTATAAATTATAATAGAATTTATTAAGCCTCCAGGAACCCATGCTTCTCCCATTTCTAAAGTCAACATTTTTATTTGTGTGATGGACGCATACACGAAATTTTTATATTGCCGAACTCATGGTTCAAAAGAAAATATAAGGGAAGATTTACATACATGCCACTTAATTCCTATATATTTACATATCTAACATTCAAACTACAAAACTTTCATATAAATATATAAAAATATATATATGTTGAGAAATTTAGGGCAAATAAATAAGAATTGTCATAAATTCAGAAAGAAACTTAGAGATCTAACGAGGTTCGACAAAGATGACCAGAGCGACGACTTTTCTTTCAATTCAGCAGAAGAATACATAATCTTCTCAAGGTTACAATATATAATATATATATATATATATATATATATATAGACACACACACACACACAGGATTTGGGGTGCGGGGGCAACACCCCCGCTGTACGATGCAGTGGTTATTTCGTATTTACATATTGTACACCAAGATTATATTATATATATATATATATATATACCCACACGCGCATCATCATCATCTTATGCATGCATGAAAAATATATTTCTTTTTTGAAAAATAAAAATATTGATATTTTCGATGCAATATAAAAGATTTGAATGCTACAAATATAAAATTTATATGTTAGAAATGTAAATACATAGGAATATATAAATATTTGGGATATTTATATACATACCAACCAATTTTAAGGTATTTATATATTTAACATCTGAACTTTATCTCTTAGATCTAAGATATATATATATAAAGTTTAGATATTAGATATGCAAATATATATAAATTAAGTGGTATGCATGTAAATATTTACAAATATAAATAAATTAAATAAAAATAAACAACTGCATTTTTATCATCGCTATCTAAAATCAGTAAAATTTGAATATTATTTATAATCAGTAGATAAAAAATAATATATTGACCCAGTATGAAATAAAGAGAAATGTCACATTAAAAAATAAATAAAGAAAAAAAAAAATGATATTGACCCATGAATGAATCGGCAGACAAGGAAGTGCTAGCGGTTAGGCAACGGTAATTGCGCATAATACGCATTATAAATACGAATTAAGACTATAATATGGATTAACGGATATTAAGTGCAGATGGCAGAAGATTTTCACTTTCGTGGTATCAGAGGGAGGAAACCTTGCCGCCGAGGGGAACTCCATTAATGAAAGAGATAGAAGCGAAGAAAGGGAAACCCTAGAAGGAGGTTAGTTGGCTCAGTCTCCATCTCTATGTTCCCTCAATAGTCAATATTCGTTGTTCTTGACCTGTGTCTATCTGTTGTCTGTTTCCTTCTTTCACAAGTGTTCCGACTTGGGAATCGCTGGAACTTAAAAGGTTTGCACGGATAGTAGTGCATCTGCTTGATTAAATTCCTAACTGTAGTAAGATTCAATTGTTTTGAATTGGAACTGGTGAGCGCAGCGGTCGATTGGATGCAATGGTTTAAAATGCTGCTCGGTGAGGAATGCTGAAACCCTAGCTGAATTCTTCGAGATCGGAGGTAGTGGGGTGCGAGAGAGGTGAGTAGGAGTCGTCTTCGCGCTTCTTGTGTGGGGAGGAGGTAGTTGGAATGGAATGAGCTTCATGAATTCGACGGGTCGCACTTGTGACTATCTGGTCTATTTATGTTTTTGCTCAAATCCTTTCTTCACCGAACTCTTTATTTATAAATGGTTATGTGCATCGATGTTTTGTTTTCTTCTTGTTTCTGCCAACATGAACCGTAAATTGCTTATTTTTCTCTGCAGGCCGAGGAACTAAGGGGAGACTGTCATGTTGTTGTATGAAGTAATTTAGCCATTGGTAAATTTAGTTTATTTGCATCACTAAATTAAGGTATGTTGAGATTATAAGTCTTGGATCTCTGTAAAAGAAAGGTTGTGGTAGAAGATGCCACCTTCACCAGCATTAAGGTGCTCACCTGGGAGAGAGCAGAAGACAGAAAATAGTCACAAGAGGGGTCGAAGTTTTGAGAGTGGATTGACTCTTAAAGCAAATGATGATGACCTTGTGCTATTCAATGAAGTGCAAAACCGAGAGAGAGATAGCTTCCTTCTTCATACAACTGATGATTTTGAAGGCTCTCTTTGTAATGCTCTATTTACCTTTTTTACTTCCAATTTCTGATTGCTTCGCTTATTTGGTTTATGAGTAAAAATGCAAACTTCCTAAAATACTTTCCTTTCGTTCGATATCATTGTTCATCAGCAAAGTTAAAGAACCTTTCAGATTTCAAGTTTGGCATTAAGATCCCGTCAAGGGGAAATAGCAGTGACCTGCTGAATATGGAAGATGAAAAAAATGACTATGATTGGTAAGTAATTCTCAATCCTAAAACTTAAGTACTCAACTTTTCTTTTTCCCTTAAAATTTTCTTTGGGATGGTAGTCAAAATCTTTTGATGGTATCAATATTATTTGATGGTAACATGTTTTCATATTCACAACAGGCTATTAACTCCTCCTGAAACACCTCTTTTTCGAACATTGGATGACAACGATCCTCAACCAGTTAATCCTGTATCTAGAGGCAGGCTGAGAAGCCAAGCTATTCCAATTTCAAGATCATTGGTAAATTAGTTTCTTTGTCACATTCATTTCTTTGATCTTTAATAAATCAAGAACCATCCGCTCTATCCTTTTAAACAGGAAGCTATCATTTGTTTTCTGTGATTTCAGACTGATAAGAATTACCGGACAAGTAGAACTAGTTATAGTCCACAGAGATTAAGCCTATCTCCTCAATCTAGTGGTTCTTCTGCACAAATGAAAGGGATATCATCTTCAGCCCCACAGTCTAGTCCACCTCCTGCCATTCGGTCTACAACCCCCACCCAAAGGTCCCGTACACCTCCGAATAAACCATCCAGACCTGCTTCCTGGTCCTCAACTCCAACATTACAAATGGTACACACAAGTTCTAGAATCCAGGCACCAAGCTATGGAAGAAAAGGAGCATCTCCAGTGAAGGCAAGACGTGGGAATTATGCTTCACCAAAGTCACAAGGGTGGCAAACGACCCTCTCTGGTTTTAACTCAGAGGCATCTCCAAACCTACCATCTTCATTATCAGATCGATCAGTTTCAAATTTGAGAGGTTCTTCTCCTGCATCTAGAAATGGGAGGGAGTTTTCGATGAAAATTGGCGGGAAATGGATGTCACCAACTAGTTCAAGAAGCATTAGTTCATCTCATAGTGAAGAAAGAGACCACTTCAGTTCCTATAGTAAGGGATCTATGGCATATTCTGGTGACGATGATGAAGAATTTCTACATTCTATTACAGTCGGAATTTCTAGATGTAACCTTCCCAGAAAAGATGGAGTTTTGACTAACAATAAAGCTATGTCATTCTCTAGAAAGCCATCTAGAGCTTTGCCATCAAATTCTGTCCCCAAAAGGTCTTTCAATTCTTCTCTTAGATTGGTGGTACGATCCTTTTCTTTTATGGTATATGATGGTTATGAATTAACAATTCCCAAATGGATTACTATTTTATATTCTTTTTTTCTTATCGTTGATGCCTTACCTTTATTTTTTACAGAAGCAACCGCAGTTGCTTGCTTATTTAGAGGTGTTAATATCTGAACATCTTCAACAAAGTTTTTTTATTATCCTTGACCCTTACAAGGAAAAAATTCATAAATTTGATTCCATGATTAAATATGATTGACTGGATTACTGATTTTTTATTACCAACCTATGAGGACTTCTTATTCTTTCTGCAGGAAATACCATCTTGTATTGCTTATGTGCCATTGTTCATTTTTCGCTAAGAGTGTTGAAACATGCATCCCTTTTTATAATTTTCATACTATTTTACAAGCAACTGCATGAAATTTTGGAATTTTGTGATTTTCCTTCAGTGAGATGCTGGTTTTAGTATTAACTTTTTCTTAGTTTGCAATGTTGTCAAAAACAATATCTGAAGGTTGAATTTCTTCTTAATGGAATTCATTTATCTGTTAATGCACCCCTAATCAGCATGTAGATTTAGTTTTCCATATATTAAATTGCACTAGTCGTTGCACTTCTATTGGAAGAAAAATTGAAGTCATTTATTTGGAAACATCCACAGTGCTAATTTCAATACAAGCATTTTATCTGATAATCTTCTTGCATAAGTTTTTTTTTCCATCACTCATCTCTGGTTCAGAATTTAGCATTCAAAATTTCATATGCATTATTTGAGATTGAGATTTATCTGTTAAAACTCAAAATAATGTGGTGGAATACACACTTTTTCATTGATATGAACGGGGTTATAAATAACCCTTACAATAATCTTATAATAGAAAAAATAATAAAAGGTAAATGATATGAAAGGAAGGGTATAACACTTAGTATCTCCAATAATTAATTCGCATTAATTGTTAGGAGATATAGGGAATAACGTAAAATAGGAAAATAAATCTCATTAATTCTAAGGAAATAATTTATTTACAAGAATAAATTATTTTCTAACATAACTCTAATTCTAAGGAAATAATTTATTTATAAGAATAAATTATTTCCTATCATAACTCCTAACACTCCCCCTCAAGTTTGGAATGCATGTTAATAATTCCTAACTTATTGAGTAGTATCGAGAACTAGGAAGAGTTTAGTGGTTTTGTAAAAATGTCTGCTGGTTGTTCTAAAGTAGACGCATGAGTCAACTTTATTATTCCTTTTTGAACTTTCTCCCGTATGAGATGACAATCAATCTCGATGTGCTTTGTTTGCTCATGGTATACCGGGTTCGAGGCGATGTGAAGTGCTGCTTGGTTTTCATAAAATAAATTGGCAGGATGTGAATGCATGATCCCCAAATCTTGCAGAATTGTTCTTAACAAAATTATCTCGCAGCAGGTAGTGGCTATGGACCGATATTCAGCTTCTGCACTAGAGCGTGATACTGTGGTTTGTTTCTTGGTTTTCCAAGAAATTAATGATCTCCCAAGGAAGATACAATACCCAATAACTGATCTTCGAGTGTCACGACACCTAGCTCAATCTGCATCACAAAAGACATTTAGTTGGGTTGAGCTTTCTGCTGAGAGGAAAATTCGTTGTCCTACTGTTTGTTTTATGTAATGTAGAATACGATGGGCTGCTTCTAAGTGTGGCACTCGTGGTTTGTCCATAAATTGACTTAAGACATGAACTGCATAAGTCAAGTCAGGACGTGTAATAGTTAAGTAGATTAATCTCCCAACTAGTCTTCGGTATGAAGATGAATCACTGATATATTCTCCATCTGATTTGCTAAGGGATAAATTTTGTACCACAGGGAAAGTGGCTTGTTTTGCTCCGAGGTACCCAACTTCCTCGAGTATTTCAAGAGCATACTTTCGTTGTGAAAGCACAATACCCTTCTGGGATTGTGCAACCTTTATACCAAGGAAATATTTCAATTGTCCAAGGTCTTTGAATTTGAATTGGTTCTTCAAGGATATTTTGACATGTTCGATTTCTTGTAAGTCATTCCTTGCAATGATGACATCATCTACATATATAAGAAGGGCGATAAATTTACCATTCTGGGATCGGACGAACAAAGAATAGTCTGCCTTTGATTGCATAAAATTGGCTTGCTTTAGAGCGGTGGAAAGCTTAATGAACCATTGTCGTGAAGCTTGTTTGAGACCATATAATGAATTGTGGAGTTTACAAACTCGAGTCTCCCCCTTTCGTCCGAGGCCAGGAGGTAGCGACATATATACATCTTCATCGAGGTCCCCATGCAAGAAGACATTGTTGACATCTAGTTGATGAAGATGCCATTGCTTGGTTGAAGCTAACGCAAGAAGTAGGCGAACAGTTACAAGCTTTGCTACAGGGGCAAATGTTTCCTGGTAATCTAGCCCTTCAATTTGATTATACCCTTTTGCCACTAATCTGACCTTGTAACGTTTAATTAATCTAGCATATGACAAGACGTTGGTTAATGGGTAGAAGATACCTGTGGTTTTGGCCAACACGGAGTTCGATGTTGGGGGGTGTCTTGAGGGAAGAGAAATACCAACATGATACTCACGTAAATAGCTAGTCATTTTTGTTATTCTTATTGGTCGTGGTGATGGTATTTGTTGCTCTAGAGTTGCAGGTTGTTCTGAAGATAAATTTGAAGGTAGGGTAGTCTCTTCAGAGGGGATTTCGTTGTCTTGAGAAGATGAAATATTTTCTTGAGGTAATTCATCGAATGAAGGCATGTCGGTGTGGGTAGTGAAGTGCGGAATTGAGCCTTTATCTGTAGTGAAAGAAGGGGAAGGGAAAGTGTTTTCATGGAAACGAACATCTCGTGATACAAAAATCTTCCCAGTTGAAAGGTCATAGACTCTATAACCCTTTTGTGCATCGAAAGAAGGCATGTCGGTGTGGGTAGTGAAGTGCGGAATGGAGCCTTTATCTGTAGCAAAAGAAGGGGAAGGGAAAGTGTTTTCATGGAAACGAACATCTCGTGATACAAAAATCTTCCCAGTTGAAAGATCATAGACTCTATAACCCTTTTGTGCATATGGATACCCTAAGAAAAGACATTGAATGGCTCTGGGATCGAACTTGTTTGGTCGTTGATGATGTGTTGAGGCAAAACAAAGACACCCAAACACACGCAAATGATCATATGTTGGTTTTGTTTGAAAGAGCATTTCAAAAGGAGTCTTTCCTTGGAGAAGGGGTGTTGGTGTTCGGTTGATTAGGTAAGTGGCAGTTAGGATTGCATCTCCCAAAATTTTTTTGGGTAAATTAGCTTGAAACAATAAGGCTCGGACTATGTTGAGTAAGTGACGATGTTTCTTTCGGCTACACCATTTTGTTGCGGAGTGGAGACACAACTTGATTGGTGAATGATGCCTTTGTCGAGATAAAAATTCCTCAATATGAATTCGGGACCATTATCACTTCGAATGATTTTGACTTTTAGATTGAATTGTGTTTCAACGAGGTTTATGAACTTGATGATGTATGAGTGTGTATCTGATTTATGGTTCATCAAATAAGTCCATGTGCATCGAGTATAATCATAAATAATTGTGAGAAAATACCGCACTCCAGTGATTGAAGGAACTTGGTATCCTCCCCAAATGTCAACATGAATTAATTCAAAAGGTGTTTTTGAGCTAATGGAACTTGTTTGAAAAGGTAAACAAGTTTGCTTAGCCAATGGATAAATTAAACAATCAAAAACATTACAAATATTTTTGTTTATAATTGGAAAAGTAAACAAGCTGGAAATTTTATTTGATGGGTGGCCTAGACGTTTATACCAGAGATTTGGAGATGGTGAAGTATCAACATAGCACTTGCTCTTTTGCTCTTTTGTGTTGCTCTTTTGTGGAGTATCAAGGTAGTAGAGTCCTCCTCTTTTAGTTCCCGTCCCAATCATCTTCCCCGATTGTTGGTCCTGTAGAACACAAGTGTGGTTATTAAAAATGACAAGACGTTGTGAATCAAACAGAAATTTGCTAATGAAAATCAGATTTAATTTGAAGGAGGGGACACATAAAATATTTTGTAGAACAAAGTCAGCAAAATGGATGTTGCCTATGTGTGTGACAGTTGCAGTAGCTCCATTAGGCAAGTGAACTTTTCGATTGATGACACTGGATTTTGTAGTAAGTAGGTTGGCTGAATATACCATGTGATCTGTGACTCCTGTATCAAGAATCCAACTTATTTCTTTATCAAAAACAGAGGCACAAAAGATTTTACTTGAGATATCACTCATTGCTGATGTACTGCCAACATGATTAGCCATCAAATTAGATTTGTTCTCTGCAAGTAGTGATATGAGGCTTTGATATTGTTCAGCTGTAAGGGTGAATGGTGCAGGACTCGTCGATGTATTGGTATCCACATGGTTGGCTTTGGGAGCAAAATTTTTCCGTTCAGGTTTATTGCCCGTTGGATTGGTCCTTTGCAACTTCCTACAATCATTGATGGTGTGTCCCTGCCATCCACAATAATCACATTTGAGATGTGCTCGACATGTGTCTGAGGTATGCCCAATTTTGTCACATTTTCCACACTTTAAATGAGGATTTTTAGGCATGAAAACCTTCTCTGGTTTTCGTGCATTATTCTCACGGCAAAAGTTGAAGCTTCCGGCTGCGGCACATTTACATTGTTCATGCCGCGCTGTTTTTCCTCTTGGAGCGCGAGAGAATGTGCCTTGCTGACGATCCATGAGCAAAATTTGTCCTCTTATACTAGTGTATGTTTCATTAAGCCCCATGAGAAATTTCATGATTTTCTGGTTTTGCTGAAACTGCATCACTTCCTTCATGGCATCACACGTGCATTTAGGAATGTTGTGGAGGGCGTCACGTTCATCCCATAAGCCTTTGAGCTTGGCGTAATAAGCTCCAACTGTCATATCGCCTTGCTTGCAATCGCTTGCATGCTTGCAATCGTGGATGGCTTCTTCGACATGGAAAATATGAACG